CCCCAAAACCCCAAAACCCCAAAACCCCAATTTCAATAAATATTTTTGAAATTTAAGAATGAGTTTGAGTCGAAAGAGCAGACAATTAGTGCATTCCTCTCAAAAGCAGTTCAGGAAGTTGAAATACTATAACCCAGATTCAGTGCCGAAGCAGAGTGAGTGTGCATCCTATATTTCTATTGCTGTTTCAGCTAATCTTTACGGATTTAGGGGCAGAAAGTGCCACCAGGCATGAACTCAAGTCTAATAAAGATCGGATTCTCGCCAGCAGCAAACGAGTGTAAGCTAGACTCTTTATTTTGTAGCATAGACACAGATGTTGATCATGACTTTTGAAATCTCAAAGGCCTCGAGTTCCCTCTTAATAATAAGAGAAGGTTTTCAGTCGATTATTGTACAATTTGGTTTATGAGTTTTAGTGGAATTAAATGCTCCTACTGAAAGCACAAAGATCGAAAGAGAAAAGTTGAAGTACGCCAAGCCACGTGATAAATCATCTAATGCTTCTGAGAGAAGCGTTTCATCACGCCACAGTAAGCTTAATATGCCCTTAGTGATAGACTCAGAGATTTTCAAAAATTTGTATTCGAAATTCCAAAGGAAGTTAAAATTTAAAGATCTTTCTCAGAAATAACATTGCTTCTTTGCCAAAATCTATTGTACCATCAAATGAGATCCCAATCATGAGGTAATTGCTCTGTTTAGCTCGTTACTGACTTTATTGAATGAATTACTCATGTGGGCTTACAACACCAAGGCTCTCGACTAATGAGTTTTGTTAAAATCGAAGTATAACTTTGGCTATAGCAAGCCATTAAAGCTCCCTGCTCCGTCTCTGAACTCTTACGTGGATGAGGTATCTGCAAGAACTCTTGAGTTACGTAAGAAGCAGGAGGAGCTTCGACTGAAAAGACTTCGTATTGACCTTATGAAGTCTTTGAAGAGTACCAAAATTGATGTAGGAGCTCCCCCAACAGTGAAGGCAAATATTAGGCAGCTAATAACCGACTTGAAAGTTCTAAAATCAAGCTTGTCCGCTCAGCGTAGTCTAGATCCCTTATCACCTATAGCTGACACTGTTGTCATGAAAAGAGGGAATTTGAGTAAATTTCACGGAAATGCTCAAGAAATTGATGCTCAAATTGAACTTTTAAAACAATCTAGGAAAGAGATGGAAGAAGCCCTATTCATAGCCCATAAAAACTATAAAGTAGCTCGGAGCTAACCTTCTCTAGGCCGCTATTGTCGATGAGAAGCAAAGAGATTTTGAAATGAGTGAACTAAAGTATGCGTCTATAATTTCTTAACAGAACTGGCCTTCAGCCACACCCAATTCCTACTTTACTGAAGAGATTCTAATAATGGATATAGGTACGCTGCAGAGAAGGTAGACGATAAGCTAAGAGAGACTATTGAGTAAGCCCCCTCTAATAGGATAGGAATAATATATCTTCTTATGCTACAGAAGTCACAAGTCTGAGTGAAGAGCTTCAAAACATTCGTAATGACAAAGCTCTGCTACTCCAAGAAAATATTGAAGTTGGTATGTCAACTTCTAATCCTCTGTGTATAGACAAGGAAATCACTCAGGAACAGAGAAAGCTTAAGCTAGTAATCCCTCTTGATGAGCAAAACGGAATGTATTTGTTCATATTGAACTACCTCGATCAGAAATTGAAAGAAGCCAACCAAAAAGTTACTCTTTTCCAAAACGTTATGGAGCAGTGGGTCTACACTTTACCATATTTAGGACCTTGTCAATGCCAATGGATGAAGACGGGTCAAAATCCCGCCACATGAGAATTAGTGAACTCAAGCAGATGCTGAGTTTCCAGAAAAACGAAAGGTCAAAAGTAGCCAAATAAAATATCTGAGTTGTATAACTACAGGATTGATCCTGAAGATGAGATGAATCTTGTTCAAATCCATGATGAAAACGAACGACTGAAGGAAGAGTTCTACCAACTCTCTGATCACAAGACCAAGCGTAGGAAGGTTTGCGTGAGGTTTAGGTGCTAAAATTGCTCATATGCTCAGGAAATGCCTTAAGCTAAATGAGATTATTATGGAAAAAGAATGCGACCAAAGAAGGCTAGAGGCAGAGATCCAGGTTGAACAGCTTTCAGAAGACCCTTCGTTTTATATAAAAACTCTTGAAAGAGTACTTAGTTTATAACCTTTTAGCTGGAAATGATTATAAGTAGGCAGGATTCATTGAGAGTATCCATTTCAGAACTTGGCAACAAGTGCCTAGCTCTTTCAGGAAGGCTTACTGAGCTCGACAACCTTATTCGCTATCTACAAGAGAGATACAGAAAGATGAGGATCGACCCTCTTGTTGAGTACAACATTTCAGAGAAAGTTGATGATAAAGTCAAGGTTTACAGAACCATTGAGAAAATTACTGAATTCGAATTTGAAGGTAACTATTGTTTAAATTTTAGAGAGGAAATCAATCATGCAGAGACAAAGAAAGTCTGATATATATGGAGTTTCTCCAACAAGAGACGAGTTCATTATTAGAACTCCTGGAGAGCAGGATGAGATCATCAGAATATCTGATAGCTGTAAGCAACTACCTGACTTTGTAGACCAACTTGACGAAGGACGTAGAACTTTACAACCAGAGAATTATTTCCCGAATAGTGATTTCACTGATGATTTAAGTGATATCGGGGATGAATCCAGCTCTATCCAGAATCATAATAGGTTGATATCCAAGAAAAAGCCAAGAGCTAGATATTAAGTAAAATCAATTTTAGTGATTACTAGAGGGGTTTTGGGGTTTTGGGGTTTTGGGGTTTTGGGG